AACCACAGGTGCGGTTATGACAGAACCAACAGCTTCAACTGCATTCTCCAATTTCCTAACTTTCCGATAACTATCCAAAATCATCCCGAGGCCCCAGGACCTCATCCAAAAGTATGAACAAGTCACATATCACTATTCAAACTTATTCCAACCTTCGGGACACTCAAAACAATATCGAAACACCAAATCACCCTCCCAAGGATTCTAAAACTTCTGAATTCTGCAACCGATCCAAAAACCTGACAAATCCCATCTGAATGACCTGAAATTTTTGCATACACGACAAAAATGACACAACAGACCTACTCTAATTTCCGGAATTCCATTCCGACCCCGATATCAAGATTTTCATTGCCGACCGGAAAATGCCAAATTTTCAATTTCGCTAATTCAAGCCTAAATCTACCACAGACTTCCAAATTACATTCCGAACACGCTCCTAAGTCTCAAATCACCTAACGAATCTATCTGAACCATTAAAACTAAATTTCGAGATTATTTACTCACAAGTTAACTTCTGATTGACTTTTCCAAGTAGATGGCCAACTTAAGAGACTAAGTGTCTCATATCACTCCAAAACTACTCCAAACCCGAATCAACCAACACGACATGATAAAATACGGTTGAACAACACATAAAGAAGCAGAAATGAGGAGAACGTGAATGTGACTCATGAAACGACCGGCCGGGTCGTTATAGTGATGCCATGTCGTTTCTAGTGATTTATATTGTGAGTGAGAGTAAAAACACGAAGGGTGATGCCGAGCAATTTTCTTCATTGTGCTTAATTGTTCTTATTGGTTAAAAAGCATATTGACTGTTCTGATTATCATTTCTGTTGTATCTCTCGTATCTGGTATCTCCTTAGCATGTCCCCCTCCCGATATTACCTGTCTAGCTTCTATTTGTTGTTATCTTGTACATATACTGTTATTTGTACATGCTTATTATGTAGGTGTCTTGTCATAGCCTCGTCACTACTTTGTCGACTACTCATACTACACTCTGAACTTGTTGTGCAGATTTTGGTACCGGCCCTAGCCGTCAGTGAGTTGGAGCAGCTTGGATCTTCTTATTAGGAGGCTCGAGGTAGATCTGCTCGCGTCCACAGACCTTGAAGGCCCCTTCTATGTTTCTTATTTCACAGTTTCTTTTCTTTCAAAACAGTTGTATTTCTTTCCGATTCTATTTGTAGTAAATTCTAGAAGCTCGTGAGTTGTGACTCCAGTTCCGAATTCTAGTAGATATTGGACTTTATATTATTTCGCACTCAACTTTCATTCATTTTTGCTTAATTGCCTTTAAAATTTGAAATTGAATAAAAATGGACCTAAAGATTTTCTAATGTTGGTTTACCTAGAGAGTGAAATGTTAGGTGCCATCACGATCACGAAGGTGAAAATTCCGGGTCGTAACAATTTTAAAATGATTTCATAATTAATTGCTGCTTGATTATATTCTTAATAGAATATAAGAAATCATCTGTTAAGTAATTAAATTTTTATGCTAATGGCTGTTCTAAATAATAATTATGCCAGGACTTTTTACTTAACTATACTAAATTATAAAGTTATTTACCCATAGTAGAGATGTTATTACTTAATTATATTCTCATATGCAAATTACCCATTATATACAAGTTAGTGATAAATGAGTATCCTTGAATTAGTCAGTGTTTTAAAAGGCGAGAGCATAAGGCGAGGCATTTTACATATGCCTCAGTGAAGCATAAGTCCCGAGGCACGGGGCATAAGCTCCATGGGTATTTAATTTTTAATATTTTATAAAATAAAATAATTACTGAAATTTTTTATAAACAGGTGAAATTGCATAAAAAATGAAGAAAACTATAAATAAGTGAAAAATATATATAGAGATGTGCTCCATCCACATAAAAAACTAGTCAAAAGAATCTATTATACGCTACTTACAAGCACAAGTAACTTGAGTAAAAAAAATATTTTCTACATGGAGGAACAAAAAGGATGACTAACCTGCAATTTGAACTTTGAACTTACTGCTATGAAGGAGAATGGAGTTCTCGTATTTGTAAAAAAAAAATTGAATATTCGTTGCTTTTGGGAGATATTAGCAGACTAGCGGACAAGATAAAGAATTGGGAAAGATCATAAATTAGGGCTTCAATTAATAAAAAAGTTCTTAACTTTTAAATTTAATACATTTCAGTTCCTTTTTAAAATTTTTGAGTAATTACAAGCTGAATTTTGAGAATTTGGGTATTATATGTAGGACTTATTCAATAAATTTTGTTTTAATTTGAAAATATTTCTGGGGCTTACGCCTTACTGCAAAAACGCATCTCAAAAGCCCAGGCGTACGCCCCGAACGCCCGGCATACGCCTCGAATTGCTATTCGTACGCCTCTTGAGACTTTCGCCCCACACTATCGCCTCGAGGTATTTTTTGTGCGCCTCGCCCCGAAAACGCATTTTAAAACACTGGAGTTATTATAGTAATTAAATGGGTAGTAATTGATACTCCAGAATTTTTTCCTTCTCTCTCTCTCTCTGTATGTGTTCTTTCCTCAGTCCAATTTTATTTTCTTCGATCTTCTCTTTCTCATTTCCTCTTTAGGGAATTCAACAATGAATTTCGATCATTTTGGCCGTGGAGTTTTAACTTATCAATTTTCATTCCAGTTGCGTAGTTGTTGTTAGAATAGGAATTGCTAATCAATAAAATTTGAGGGTTGTCTCTCCACCTTTTATAGCTAGGGGCATACATAGGAGGTTGGTTCAGGGTTTTCAATTACTAAACCAAAAAAATTATGTTGGGGTTTTAAATTAATAAACAAAATCAAAACGAACAAAAGCCGGATTTTTGCATTTCAATATTTCTCGGGGTTTTTTTTTTTACTTTTCTCAAGTTTTTTTGGATTTTTTCCCAATAAAATCTTCACAGCACAAAATATAAATTTGTGCTCCAAATATTTCTTTGGTTCTAGTAGGATATAACTATATAAGGTGTTATCCAAGAAAATAACACAGAGTCATGATATTGTGCTAAAATATTCAACAATAAAGATAATAAAATCGCATAAAATAAATATTGCTAAGTAATACGCCATAATAAAAATGAGCATAATCTAAAAATACTAAATCATTCTAAAATAAGTACGACTAATTAGTACTAAGTATTAATTATATGACTAAATAAAAAATAAGTTATACATTTATTTCACTACTATCATTTCTAGTATTGAATTGAATTTCTTTTGTTATTATTAATATTGATTTGGCTTTATTTGAATTATTAATATTTATGGGTTATATAACATATTGGACTATTCAAAAATTTGAAATCCAATCTTGTAATAATACGTTAAAAGAGAGAACTATGAAAAAGTTTAAAAAATATGCTTAAATTATATTATAATAAATATTTTGATGTATAAAATATTTTTAAAACTTGTATATATAATATCACATTGATCTAATTTCAGTTTGACTTTTTTTTCACTTAAACAAAACCAAACCAATTGTGGTCATTTTTATTAACACAAACAAATCAAGCCAAACTATAATCAGATTATTTTTTCTCGGTTTGACAGCCATTAAAAAGCTTCCAAGTTTAAAATTCGGATTCAAGTGTTTGGTGAAGATTATAGTTGATTTTGGCTGGATTATCAGACTAAAACTCGAAGAGGAAAAAGAAGATGTCACATATAAAATACATACAAATGGCATACAAAATACATTTGAAGATTGTATTTTCAAAAGAGTATTAAAATTGTAGTATAGTTATATGAAATATATATATATCATTTTTGTATGAATGTTGTAAAGAAATTGTATATTGTATGAACAGTTATACAATTTTTATATTTAAATTATACAAATTATATTTAAGTTGTATACATACAAACCACGTACAAAAATACATACAAAGAAATAGTGTATGGAAATGAAATATATATATATCATTTTTGTATGAATGTTGTAAAGAAGTTGTAAATAAATTGTATATTGTATGAATGGTTATATAATTTTTATATTTAAATTATACAAAAAGTTATTTAAGTTGTATACATACAAACCACGTACAAAAATACATACAAAGAAATAGTGTATGCAAATTAATATGTTTAGGTTTAAATTGTTTGTTACGATATATCAATTGGGTTTAGCCTAATATAATTGCTTTATAATTGATAACGAGATAAGAATGTCAATATTCTGTCTCACAGATCGGTGAATATCTACAATGCTACAATGATGAACATAAATGATTTCCACATTCCAGATTTTTATTAAAAAGAATTGAAGAGATCGATGAAGCAACTGATCCATGAATAAAGTGTTAATTAGCTTACTCTAATTTCTTAGAAGGGATTTACCAAAAAAAAAAAAAGGAATTTCTTAGAAGGGAACCTAAGCACTGGTCCGCTCAAGTTATTATAGGACAAGCCCCTAAATAAAAAAGATTGAATACCAAAATCAATCTAAATTATTGAAGCTAATTCGGCAGAAAAAGAGGAACAGATGACGGCATAAGGAGAAGGAGAGAGGAGAGGTGAGGAAAGCTGTGCTTAACAACCATACAAGCTGAGTCTTAAGCTTCAGCTATGGAGGAATGAAAACAGAGGAAGATATGAGAGAGAAAGAGAATCAGTTGTTCTCATTGCACTAACTGAAATGCTGTACAGTATACAATATTTATACTAGAGCCAAATATCCACTAACTATCTAACTAACACTCATTACTAATCTAACAACTTTCTAACAATAATTAAAACTCCCTAACTAACTATCACACAACTATTACGTGTTCATTTCCCAACTGCCTCAATACTCCCCCTCAAGCTGATAGGTGCAAAGATGTTGAGCACTCCCAGCTTGGACATCAAAAATTCATGTTGTTGTCTTGCAAGCCCTTTAGTGAGTATGTCTGCCAATTGATCTCTCGATCCTATATGTACTGTTCTAATCAGCCCCTTTTGAATCTTTTTTCTAATGAAATGACAATCTATCTCAATATGTTATGTTCTCTCATGATACACTGGGTTTGTTTCTATCTGCAATGCAACTTTACTATCACAGTGCAATAGAACTAGCAATTCTACTTTTGCTCCCAGCTCTTTGAACACCCCTATTAACCATACCAACTCTGAAACTACTGAAGACATGCTTTTGTACTCTACTTTTGCTGAGCTCTTGAACACTGTATTCTGCTTCTTTGACATCCATGCAACTAACGAATCTCCATGTTTCACGACAAAGCCTGTTACTGACTTCCTTGTGTTTGGACAAAATGGCCAATCAACATCACAAAATGCAGTCAAGGTGTTCTTCGTATTGCTGCTCATCATGATGCCTAATCCTGGTTCCCGTTTCATATATTTAACTACCCTTATGGCTGCTTCCCAATGTGACCTTTTTGGATTTTGCATAAACTGACTAAATGTCTGAACAACAAAGACAATGTCTAGTATGGTCATGGTTAGATACATCAACTTTCTAATCAACCTTTGATATTGTCCTTTGTCTTCCAGTGGTTCATCACTACTTGATCCTGCAACTTCATCCAGCTCAGTAGTTGTGAGTTTTTGATTGCAATCCAAAGGTGTCCACCTTGGCTTAGCTGCACTCAACCCCATTTTTGATATGAGCTCCAGGCCATACTTTCTCTGATTCATCATGATTCCTCTGCGAGATCTACAAAACCCAATGGCCAAGAAATACTTCAACTCACCCAAATCTTTAAGCTTGAAGGACTGATGTAATTGCTTCTTGGTTTCTTCCATGAGTGTCAGATCATTACCAACAATTATCATGTCATCCACATATATAAGGATGACCACTATTTTTTCTGTTTTGCTTCTTTGTAAATAAGGAATAGTCTAGGGAACTTTGCACAAATCCTTGATGAATCAGTGCCTCAGTTAATTTGACATCCCACTGCTTGTTTGCTTGTTTCAGCCCATATAGCGATTTGACAAGCCTACATACCTTGCCTTCATTCTCCCCCTAGCTGGCAAATCCCTTAGGGAGCTTCATGTATACTTCATCATAAAGGTCCTCTTGAAGAAAGGCATTATATACATCCATTTGATGTATATGCCACCCTTAAGTAGCTGCAACATAAATCACTGCTCGGACTATAACCATTTTTCAACTGGAAAAATATTTCATGATAGTCTAAGCCTTCTTTTGGGCTATATACCTTAGCTACCAAGCGTGATGTTAACCTCTCAATATCCCCATTGGCTTTGTACTTTACTTTGTAAATCCATCTACAACCTATGGGAGTTTTCCTTGCTGGTAATGGCACCAATTCCCATGTTTTGTTATCTTCTAATATTTGAATTTCTGCCTTCATGACTTCAATCCAGTTCTTGTCTTTGGATGCTTCATGGAATATCTGAGGTTCAATAACAACTGAGAAAGCTCTCAAGTAGTCTTGATAAGCTGGTTTCAATCCATCATAGCAAACATGGTTGAAAATGGAATAAGGTTTAGGTGATTGATCTAGTGCAGCTACAGTCACATAGTCAGTCATCCAAACTGGTACTTGTTTGTCTCTGGTAGACTTCCTAGTGCCCTCTATATCATTGCCTAGTGTGACGACCCGGCCGGTCGTCTTAAGAATTAATGCCCTGATCCCCTATTAACTGCTTTCCTCATGTTTATTTGTGCTATTCTGATTTGCCGAGAAGTTCGATTTTGAGTTTCAGAGAGTTTTGGGATACTTAATCCCTAAATGAGAGCTTAAGTGTTAGAAAGTTAACCGTAGTCGGAACAGTATGAAGACGACCTCGGAATGGAATTCCGATAGTTCTGTTGGGTGATTTTGGGCTTCGAGGCATGATCAGATAGTGTTTTGGAGATCCATAGCTGATTTAGGTTTGAAATGCCGAAAGGCCAAATTTTGAAGTTTCCGGTTTGATAGTGAGATTTTGATCTGAGGGTCAGAATGGAATTCCAGAAGTTAGAGGAGCTCCGTAGTGTTGAATGTGATGTGTGTGCAAAATTTCAGGTCATTCGGACGAGGTTTGATAGACTTTTTGATCGAAAGAATATTTTTAGAGTTTTGTAATTTTTAGGCTTGAATACGTGGTTGATTCATCATTTCGATGTTGTTTTAGGTGTTTTAAGGATTGGTATAAGTTTGGACAGTGGCATTAGACTTATTGGTGCCTTTGGTTGAGGTCCCGGGGGCCTCAGAATGATTTCAGATGGTTGACGGAAGGATTTTGGAGTTTGGAGTTTGGAGTTGCAGCTTCATCTGGTTTTCTGTCATAACCGCACCTACAAGTGTGGGACCGCAGGTGCGGAGTGGCAGAAGCGGCATTTAGCATCACAGATGCAGAAATGGGGAGGTTCAGCAGGAGCCGCAAAAGCGGTAGAATTTCCGCATGAGCGGTACCGCATCTGCGGGTGGGGAGTCGCAGATGCGGAAGCTTGGCTTTAAGTGAAAAGTCACAGATGCGACCATGTCCTCGCAGAAGGGGGACTGCAGAAGCGGAATAACTGGGCAGAAATATATAAATACTTGCCTTTGCAAAATTTAGCCATTTTTACCCTTTTCAAATGGGAAGAAGCTTGGGGAGCACTTTTCAAGAGGGATTTTCAGAGGAGTTTATTGGGGTAAGGTCTTCGGTCCCTAAACTCGTTATTGGAATAATATTTATCAATTTAAGCATGAAAAATTAAGGAAAATCAGTGGTAAATTGGGGGTTAGGGCTTGACTAATTAGAGACTTTTGAGTGATGATTTGAGGGATCATTTGAGGTCCGATTTTGGTACTTTTGGTATGACTGAACTCGTGAGAGTGTGAGTATTGTATAAATATAAATTTTACCTAATTCCGAGACATGGGCCTGAGGGGCATTTTGGTCATTTTACCTAATTTTGCGTATTAGCTTAGAATATTTTTGTAGAATCAGTTACTTGAAGTGTTATTTACATTATGAAATTGAATTGAATAGATTTGGGCCATTTGGAGTCGAGTACTTGTGGCAAGAGAGTGGTTTTGGATTGATTTGGGCTGGTTCGAGGTAAGTGGCTTGCCTAACCTTGTGTGGGGGACCTTCCCCTTAGGATTTGGTATATTTGATAATTGAAATACCTTGTACGTGAGGTAACGAGTGCGTACTTGAGCTAATTGTTAAAAATTCGATTTTCTTTAAGTAATTTTAATTGTTTTCCTTTTTCCTGCCTTATACTACTTGCAAATTAAGCCTGTTGTTAGCCTAGAAAAGCATGTTTAATTGACTTAATTGCTTACTTGCTTAACCTGCCTTAATTGTATTATGTGAAATAGGTTAGGTTAGAATTACCTGTTTACTTGGTACAAAATTGAGCTTAAATGAGTATTCCTTGTGTTGTGGCTGCGTGTTTTACTTTGGGACTACGGGACGACATCCCGGGAGATCCCTGCACGTATTTATGAGTTGAGTTGAGGTGCGGGATACCGAGAGATACCTAGCAAGAATATTGAGGATACCAAGAGATCCTCGGGATACCTAGAGATCCCTAGCACGTATATTGAGGATACCAAGAGATCCTCGGGATACCAAGAGATCCTTGGTATATATTGAGGGTACTAAGAGATCCTCGAGATACTGAGAGATCCCCGATTATTTCCTTGTGATTATTTTGCCTCTGTTTCAGTTATTGAATTCCTTGTTTTCCTGCATTAAATTCTTATTGTTAGTTTTCGACTGTACTGCTTATCTTATGCTGTCATATCTTACATTTTTATTTTATCTCAGTAGGGCCCTGACCTTCCTCGTCACTACTCGACCGAGGTTAGGCTTGGCACTTACTGAGTGTGGTTTACTCATGCCTTTTCTGCGCATGTTTTTCATGTGCAGATCCAGATACTGCAACATAGTCCTATCACCCTTGAGGCGAGGCAACTGCTCCAAAGACTTCGAGGTATATCTGCTGCATCCGCAGACCGAGGAGTCCATTTCCATTCTTTCTTTTAGTGACAGTCCTCTTATCTTTTCTGTTGATGTAGATGTTCCGGAGTAGAGCATTTTATTATATTCGTAGCTTGTGATTCATGGGTTTCCGGGTTTTGGGAAAATGTATTAGTTTTGAGAATTTATATTGTGTATGCCGAGCGACACTTTTAAATGTTGTTATATCACTCTATTTCTGTTTTAAATTGTTTTTATTCCACAAATTGGTTTATCTTCCGCAATTTAGGCTTACCTAGTCGTAGAGACTAGGTGCCGTCACGATGTTTCATGTAGGGCGAACCGGGGTCGTGACAAGTTGGTATTAGAGCTCTAGGTTCATAGGAGTCATGAATCACAAGCCGGTTTATTAGAATCTCGCTGATCGGTATGGAGACGTCTGAACTTATTTACGAGAGACCATGTAACTGTTAGGAAAATTCCACTTCATATGATTTCCTTGTCGTGCGAGATTTGATGTCACAACTCTAAACTTCTGTCTTCTATTCTCTCACAGATGGTGAGGACATGCATTACCCGAGATGATCAGGCACCCGCACCCCCTACTGCAGCTGTCAGGGTAGGGGCCAAGGACGCGCACGTGGTGCAGCCAGAGAACCTGCACGATCTGCCACCGAGGTACCACCATCGGTTCTAGCCGGAGTCCAGGCACCTGATACGCCTACTGCTACCACGACTCCAGCACTTCAGGAGACTCTAGCACAGTTCATGAACATGTACACCACTTTGGCTCAGGTAGGGTTGTTTCCCCTTGCTGCAGCTACGTCTCAGGACGGGGGAGGAGAACAGACTCCCACCGCCCGCACTCCTGAGCAGCGAGTGCATGTTGAGCAAGTCCCTAAGATTATTCATGTACAGCCTACAGTCCGAGATCAGCCCGAGGACAGGGCAATGATTTCCGAGGATGAGCTGCAGAGGCTTGAGAGGTTCAAGAAGCACAAGCCTCCTGTATTCGGCGGTCTAGCATCGGATGATGCTCTGGGATTCCTGGATGAGTGTTATCGTATTCTCATTACCATGGGTATATCAGGATCGAGCGGGGTTTCCTTCACTAATTTCTAGCTTTGAGGAGCCGCCTATGAGTGGTGGCGCACCTATGAGTTAGATAGTTCGGATGAGGCTGCTTCACTGACTTGGACATAGTTTTTAGATCTGTTCCTAGGAGAGTATATTCCTCAGAGCCTCAGGGACACATGGCGCGTAGAGTTTGAGCATTTGCGCCATGGTGCTATGACTGTCTCAGAGTATGCTGTCCGTTACACTAGTTTGGCTAGACATGCACTAGCCTTGGTTTCTACTGTTCGCGAGAGGGTTCGCCGATTTATTGAGGGCCTTATTCCCAACATCGAGTATAGCATGGCTCGTGAGTTGGAGATGGACATTTCTTATCAACAAGTGGTGAGCATTGCTAGGAGGATTGAGGGAATGCATGCTAGGGAGAGAGAGGAGAGGGAGGCCAAGAGGTCTCGAGAGTCGGGCCATTATTCTGGTGCCCGTGCCCCAGCTGCAGGTTGTCATGGTAGGGGTTATATGAGTCGCCCTCTTCATTCAAATCTTCTAGAAGCTAGTGTATTCCAACTCCTCCTAGACCTCAGGAGCCTTCTTATGCACCTCCGGTTTCTAGTGCGCCTCCTGCGCGGGGTGCTTTCAGAGGTCAGTCCAGCCGACCTGGCCCGAGCCAGTCACAGCCTCCATGTCCTCCCAAAGCTTGTTTTGAGTGTGGTGACACATGCCATGTAGTGAGGGATTGCCCTAGACTTGGGATGTGTGCACCTCCACAGACTTCTCATACACAACGTGCCCCATAGAGTTCTCAGTCTATGATTACAGCTCCAGTTGCTACCCCACCTGCTCAACCAACGAGAGGTGGAGGTCGGGGAGGTAGAGGTCACCCTAGAGGAGGAGGCCAGGCCAGATATTATGCCCTTCCTGCCCATATCGAGGTTGTTGCCTCCAATTCTGTCATCACAGGTATTATACAGGAACAACCTCAGATTCTATCATCATAGATATTATACAGGTTTGTCATAGATATGCATCGGTTCTATTCGATCTAGGCTCTACTTACTCTTATGTGTCGTCTTATTTTGCTCTGCATTTGGGTGTACCTCGGGATATTTGAGTTTCCATGTTTATGTTTCTACTCCTGTGGGAGATTCTCTTGTTGTGGACTGCATTTATCAGTCGTGTTTGGTTGCTCTTAGTGGTTTTGAGACCAGAGCCGATTTATTATTGCTCAACATGGTAGATTTTGATATTATCTTGGGCATGGACTGGTTGTCTCCCAATTATGCTATTCTTGATTGTCACGCCAAAACCGTGATGCTAGCTATGCCAGGTGTACCGCGTGTTCAGTGGAGGGGTACTATAAATCACACTCCCAGTAGAGTTATTTCTTTTCTTAAAGCTCAGCGTATGGTTGAGAAGGGGTGTGACGCATATTTAGCCTATGTGAGAGATGTCAGTATTGATACCCCTTCAGTTGATTCAGTTCCAGTAGTATGGGATTTTCCCGATGTGTTTCCAGCTGATCTTCCAGGCATGCCCCCTGATAGAGATATTGATTTTGGCA